AATCGAATGCCTTAACCTTGTTCCTAAGTAAGAACTTATGAAACATTTCCATTACCTGATATTAAGCCAAGGTAATTCGCTAGTTTATAAAAAAAAATATTATAGTTACTAACACCACACCGTTGCATATCCAATGGAGTATTTTAAAGAGCTAACATTTTACAACCACCTGTATAACTTCATAAAATCGTCTTATTTTATAGCTCTCTCGTGGTAGGCAGTGCCAACGAGTTAACGTTTATATACAAACATGTAAAACTATAGGACTAGTTGTAGGTTAAGTAGTTGTATACGTTTTCAAAATATGATGGATTAGAAATGTGTAGATTTTTTCTATTTGTTACACATTAATTGTTACACATTAATTTCACCTATAATGAAACACTTAAGAAGAATTTATTGGAAACTAGGTGGGCCTTGTAAGCTCAGATATTCGACAATAAACCAGGAAATAGTGTTTGAGCTATCAACAACCACTGAAAATTGAATGTCGTATAGAGAACTACAGAGGGCTTCCTTTTCCATAAAACTTAAAACTAACAAAACCTGCAGTTCAGTAAAAAGATACTCAGTCACTGATATCTGAGTGTACATGTATATATATACAAATGAAAATGAACTTACAGATACTTCATTGATCATAAGTACATACACATGTAGAAGTAGATTTTAAAACCATACATCAACTGATTATATAGATGTATAAATCAACCTTATAAAGCGTTCCTTCATTCACACCGACAAATTTTCACCAGTTATTATTGAAAACTTCTTACACCACCACCATTACAAAAACCTCAAACTCAACTCTTCTTAGGGTAATGTGAGGAAAGAATTAAAATTACATAGAAAGAACAAAAAAAGCTAAGTTTTGTTGTTGTTGTTGTTTTTTTACTTTTTGCTGAAGAGTGTGTTTTCTCCCTTAACAATCTTGGAATTATCTGAAAAAGAAGGAATGTGAATCTAGTTGTAAACGTTTTCAAAATATGATGGTTTAGAAATTTGTAGATTTTTTTTCTATTTGTTACAATATATAATATAACGTATATTATAAATCATGAATTATATCAACATATTAGAGTAAATTAATCTACGAGACATTTTTTCCCCCTTTTATTAGCTATATTTTTGTGCGTCAGCAATACCAAGCGTGGGGCGTGCATATACCCGATTCGATTTTATTATTCATCAGGATCTCTACCAGCCTACCCTCAAATTGAAATTGTTTTAGTCAGGATTATAATAAATTAATCTACGAGGCCTTCGACATGGTCAAATATATCAATCGAAAGGGTTTGACCTCTTGAGCCCAAAACTGTAGTTAGATCTCAAATCGGTCAAGAGATGACGGTGCTATGAAACAAAAACTCAAAGCCATTCTCTGAGCCGATATGCCGCGGCTAAAGATACAACGACCCTACTATTATCGCTAGATAATAAAGCGGCACTATCGTTACCACTACTTTTTTCATGATTGATAATGTAAGAATGAAAACGCAAAGTTATTGGTACATGGTAATTATTTATTGATACAATAACATAATACTGACTTCTCAGAACAAACTATCCATATTTGTGAATGATGAGAGGAAAGCAGCTAACAACAATACAGCCTTCGATACATTCAATGATAGTATTTAATTAACAGAACGCCAAAATGGATATGACGACAGTAATAATAATATATGTGCTAATATGAAACAATAAATCTCTAATATTAGAAGATATTACGTCCGTTATTATTTGTTTCAGTTTTATTTAATCGTTGTTACTTTGGGACGAATTACTTGCAGATTTTGTTTGTTGTTTAAAGCAGATGAAGAAGTCTTCATCGTCATCTCTCTCAGTGCTGGAAAATGACGAAAAATCACTTAAATTAGCATTTGCTGAACTTTCATCGCAACCGTCTTCTCTGAAAATTTTTTAATCATCATTTGTTTTACAGTTTCTTTCCTCGCGTGTGAGCCAGTCCAAATCAGTTTAAATCGTGGGTGAAAAGCAACTGCGAGAAAGTGATTCTCATTGATGAAAGCAGCTTCAGAGAGCCTCTCAGAAACTAGATCGATATAAAATGACTAAAAGGGACAAAGAAAAATTAAAAAGAATAAGAAATATTTAAATTTAAATACTTTAAAAAGAATACCAAAAAGAAAACT